GAAGTCGACTTGCATGCCGGGGACAGGTGCTTGTAACTGGCAGCTAATGGATTAGCCTGAGTGTTTGGCAGAGCTAAAAAAGTTCAAAGGACAAATGCTACCACGTCAATCATTTGACACACTGTTTCAATAATCTCTGGAAATAGTTCTAACAAATCCTCCCCTCATTTAAACTCTGTTACTCAATTTTGAGAAGAATGAGAAAATGTTTCGCATTATCACTATTAGGTAATCTTTCTATTCAAGGAGTTCGCATAGAAATGTAAATTTTGAAGTCTCTTCTCACATATCAAATATCATTTTGTTGATTACCTGACTCCATAGTAGTCTTCGATGTAGTCGTTGTAAAGCCAATAATTTTATTGACTATATTCCAGACATTGCTATCACCATAATCAGTGACAATAATAGTTTCGTGACCGCCGAGTTTACTGAGATCAGCGCCTGAATGTAAATTGAGCGTGATTTCGTAATTTGCTGCAGTTGTTTATTTTTGAGCGCTTACCTTGCAAGCTAGCAACTACGATTTTCTTGAAATTTGGGTTTTTAAAAGGTTCACCGAAGACGTTCGCATTTTTCCTGCAAACTCGAAGTTAAATCATCAGCTGCTTGGACAATAGCGAAGTGATACTTACGCTGCCGAAAAGAACACCAGACAATTTGCTTCGTCATTGATTTCATTGATGCGCGATACCACGCTGTAAATATTTGGTGTATCCAGTTTTATACGCGACTCAAGCTTTGGGTTTGAATGGTTATGTAGCATCAATTTGCGGGTCGATAAAGTCATTAGCACAATTCCGAGTTTTTATGACTGATAAAGACACCGCAAAATCCTTGGAATTCTTGCCCGAGTCCTTTCTTACAACATAATTTAGTATTTATAAAGCACTTGCGACCGATGTACTTGGTGTTTATACTAGTATTCTGACCTAATGCGCAACAAGCCATTGCTCTGCAGCGGTTGTCTCAACCTTTAACTGAAGTTTGACTCACTTTTCGTTGGAATAGTTTCCCGTGATATCTGCATATTTAATGGTGATCTCAATATCATTCCACAGCGCCCCAGTATCGTTGGTCATCTTTCCTAGTTGGACGTCCAGTTCAGCAGTGGTATTCCCATATGCCCAGACTGTCCCTTGCACTTCATTTTCAAGGCATTTTACGGCGATTGTTCTAATGAAATTTTTTTCCTGAACTGAGTGGTTGCATAACTTTCCTAAATTCGCTTTGCATCTTGTATACGTGACAAATAAACAATATAAACACATGACTCAAATGTTCTGTAAAAAGTTCCGTAACAATGTGTGAAAGTTTGAAATTTTCTTTTATCTTGATGGCTTTGCATTTTTTT